AAATTGACAATGACGTATTGGGTGAATCTTCAACAATCAGTAAGTACTCACCTCACTCGTAAAGTACTGGAGGAGTGCTGGGAATATTCGTATGATGGAGGATGTAGTTTTGGATGGAAGAGTAGAGTATGGGCCAAGGAGTATGGCATGGATAATAAGATCTTCTGTCCTAATGTACCACTCACTGATGCCCCAATATGGAGAGTCCCTGAACCACTTGTAGACTTGAGCTTACTAGACAAGCCCAAAGGTGAATACATTGGAAAGGAGGTTAATGCTATTCTAAATAATACATTTTATTCAACATTACAAATATTTACGGATGGATCTAAGGAACCTGTTAATCAAAAGGTTGGAATAGGTGTATATATTCCCAAATTTAAAGTACGAATTAGTTTGAAATTGCCAGATGATTTATCAGTATACACTGCAGAGTTAACAGCTATAATAATAGGACTACAGTGGGTTGAACAAGTCAGACCAAATAAAGTGGTAATATGTTCAGATTCGTCTTCAGCTTTAATTAGTATAGCACATGCGAGATCAGACAGAGAAGATTTATTAATGGAAGTGTATCTATCTTTATACAGATTGAAAGAGGCTGGAATAATGGTATATTTTTGTTGGGTGCCAGCACATGTTGGGGTATCTGGTAATGAAGTTGCTGATAAACTAGCAAAAAAAAGCACTGGACAAGATGGAGGTGGATGTTAAAGTGCCTATGGGAAAAAGGGAGGCAAAGTCGATTTTAAAGAAAAAGTTAATGAATAAATGGCCAAATAGATGGGATAATAGCAGCACAGGGAGATGGTGTTATAATATTACGCAGATAGTAGGGAGGATAAATTGTCAGGGAAGAAATAGGAAAGAAGAGGTGATCTATGCACAATCAGCTTGTAACGCTCCAAAGAGAAAGGAAAACTTGAAATCGCATCATATGACCCCTTTAAATTCGAAAAAAATTATCTTCGTATGGAAGTCTATGAGAGCACTCGGGGAGAATTTCAGTCTGACAGAAATCGCCCAAAAAGGGGCGGTACTACACAAAACGCGACTCGACGCTGATTGGACTATTTAGAGGCAGAACAAACAGTGAAAGCTAGCGT